ACCTATGGTATACCACCATTGGTATACGCCCGAGGTCGCAATATTTACCGGTCCTGAAGCACCTCCACGTGTGAATGCTTCGACTGCCGATTGACCAAAATGGGGATCCCATATTGCATGTGCAATCGGTCGAATATGTAGTGGGTCTTGAACCCAAGCTTCAAAATTACCTTGCCAAGCAACATGAAATAAATTTCCTGATGTCCATAAAAAAATAATAGAAAGTTGTCCGAAATGTGAAGCAAATATTTTTTGATAAAGAGTTTCTTCAGTGATACTATCATGACTTTCAAAATCATGAGCAGTAGCAACACCAAACCAGATACGACGTGTAGTAGGATCTTGTGCTAATCCTTGGCTAAATTTTGGAAACTTTGTAGCCATGTAAATTCTTTCTCCTTAAAAAATTATTAAATTAGATAAATTATGTTTTATAAAAAAAATTAACCAACAGCAATAATGCGAGCTAAAAAGAAACTCCAAGTAGTAACAATACCACCAAAAATATAATGAGCAACACCAACAGCTCGACCCTGTGTAATACTTAAAGCACGAGGTTGGATGGCTGGAGCAACTTTTAATTTATTATGAGCCCATAAAATTGACTCTATTAATTCTTGCCAATAACCACGACCACTAAATAAAAACATTAAACTAAAAGCCCAAACGAAATGAGCGCCTAAAAAAACTAGACCATAGGCCGATAATGCAGAACCGTACGATTGAATTACTTGTGAGGATTGAGCCCATAGAAAGTCTCGTAACCATCCATTGATGGCATTTGCGCCATTTGCAAAATTTCCTCCAGTAATATGAGAAACACCACTTTCGCTAACTGTTCCCCAAACATCGGATTGCATTTTCCAACTAAAGTGAAATATTACGATTGATAATGAATTATAATTAAACTAAAGAATGGTATTTACACCCTTCCTCGTCTTCAGATCCGAGCGTGAGATTTTCATCTCACTCGGCTCCTGCAATTTGATTATGACTAAACTTTTTTTACTGCTTTTTCGTATTTTTTCATAAACGGTAATAATGGTAAATTCGATAAATATCTTTTCTAAATATTAGAAAATGACAATATTTATTTGTTTACCTTTATAAATTTTTCCCGATCAATCCATGATAAGTGTGGTAAGAAATTTTCAATTACTTGATTTTTATTATTTCTCGTTTTTCCATAAAGGACCCAATTATCTTTATAAATTTTATTACCAAATTTCCAGGTTTTATTGGTCGGAAAATATTTCTCTTTGATTATACCACGAGCTGAACGTGTATCTCGTCTGAAAACCCAGGCTCGTAATTTTAGAAAAATACGGTGTGATAAGTTCTTATAGATTGTTGTACATTCACAAAATTTAAAGTAGTTGCCCCATCGGAGGACAATAGGGCGAAGTTTTTTAATTAACTGATAAGAGGATATAGCTTTATTTTTTTGAATTATATCTCGAATCTTTAGTAGCAAAAGTTTTTGACTGTTTTTTGAAGGAGTAATTTTCGCTTTATATTTATTGTATTTAACAATTTGTATAATTTGAAAACCTAAAAAATAAAAACCGGATGTTCCTAGTCTAGTACTAGAGTTTTCCATGATTATCCTTAATCCTATTTCAGATAGCCATTTATTTGTCTCATAAACACAAAGCTGTAAAATTTCTTTATTCTCATGCATTAGTATAAAATCATCCGAAAATCTCACAAATATTAGGTTTTTTTTGTTTAGCATTTTTGCTTCTCTTGGTTTTTTTTTTAAACTTCTGACGAAGTTATTTAAATGCGTCCCTAACCCATGAAGAGCTATATTAACAAGCAATTCAGAGATCATACCTCCATATGGAGTTTTCGTTTCCATGATTAAATAATGCTTATCTGTATTTGCATAACCTTCTAGAATTCCTGCTTTTAACCAACTTTCAATTTGTTTTTCCATCAAAGGAAAAGTATTTAATTTCTCGATAAGGATTGGATATTGAATTTTATCAAAAATTTTTCGAATATCCGTACTAAAAACCCATTTTGGGTTTTTGTTATTGAGACTTAGATAAATTGATTCTAGAGCATCAGGCACTTTTTTTGTAGACCTATATACACAAGACTGCGATTCAAAAACGGCATCCCATTCAGGTTCTAGAGCTAGTTTAGCTAATATTTGTTTAGCTTGGTCTTTGATAATAGAAATCTCTAATTTTTGCCTTTTATTTTTACTAGGTTTCACGATCCATACTTTTTTTATTGGGTGCGCTTTACCATCAATACGTAATTTCTTGGCTAATGCTAGTTTTTGTGTATTGGTAATGCTTTTTTCGTCATAGACACCTGCTACTATATGGATTGTTGTTACTTTATGAATGGCCAACAATTTTGCATCCGTACTATGGACCAAAAGGTCTTGTAACCAATGCATTTTACTTATCTTATCAGCTTGTTTAGCTTTATAGATTCTAATTTGAACTCGACGGACTCTTTTCTGAACTAATGTCCAGTTAATATCGCCCCACGCTAAATATTGAATATTTTTGCTCATAAATTTGTTTCATAGAATCACACCAATTTGCCGCCTGAGACGTCAGCATATATTTTTCACCACTTTTAGCGAAAAATCATTAGCTTCTTCCCAAGCTCTTTCATTCTTATAAACATAAAACTTGGTTAGTCTACTATTTACTAGAGTTTATAAGAAATTTCCACTGTTCCGTACAAGACATCACGTGCTACGTAGGCTCATACATTACGAGATAATTTGCTTTGTAAAAAAGTTTCTGTGCAGGTAATATGGACGAATATCCCCTGTCAAATTTATGTTCTATTATCATAGTATCTCTTAACTAAAATAAAGGATTATATCAATACATCTCGCTTCTATATGTTACGGCCGTTGTGCAATTGCTTGCTATAGCACTAACATTGCTCTTTGCTAAACTTCAATAGATTACCAATTCTATTTATCAATAGCTAATGTGCTAGTGCACAGTCACTAGGAGGAATTGAACCTCGTCTTATTACAGTTCCAATAATATAATATTGGTTCTCTTTTTAGATTAGGAGAAAACAGGTCGCACCATCCAGAATAATCCTAAAAATACATGATCCCATGCGGAAACTTGACAAGTTCCACCGCGACCAGGTCCATCACAAGGGAATCGGAATCCTAAATTTGCTTTATCCGGAATCAATCTTGAACTACGCGCATATAATACACCTTTTAATAAAATTAAAGCTGTTACATGAATCGTAAAAGCATGTATATGATGAACCATAAAATCCGAAGTTCCTAAACTAATAGGCATCATAGCAACTTTACCTCCAACTGAAACAATATCACCTCCCCAAGTTAAACTTGTAGCGGCGCCTGCTGTTGGGGCCGTAAGTTGTGGCGCAGTATAATGTATATTTTGAATCCATTGTGCAAAAATTGGTTGTAATTGGATTGTTGTATCAGAAAACATATCTTGTGGTCGGCCTAAAGCACTCATCGTATCATTATGTATGTATAGTCCGAAACTATGAAATCCTAAGAAAATACAAACCCAATTTAGATGGGAGATAATAGCGTCACGATGACGTATAACTCGATCTAATAAATTATTATAATTGTTTGTTGGATCATAATCTCGTACCATAAAGATCGCGGCGTGTGCACCTGCTCCAACAATACAAAAACCACCAATCCACGTATGATGCGTGAATAAAGAAAGTTGAGTTCCATAATCCGTTGCTAAATAAGGATAGGGTGGCATTGCATACATATGGTGTGCAACAATAATAGATAAGGATCCGAAAAGAGCTAAGTTAATAGCAAGTTGCGCATGCCAAGAATTTGTTAATATTTCATATAGGCCTTGATGACCTGCTCCTGTGAAAGGACCTTTATGAGATTCTAAAATTTCTTTCATACTGTGTCCAATACCCCAATTTGTACGATACATATGACCAGCAATTATAAATAACACCGCAATCGCTAAGTGATGATGGGCGATATCTGTTAGCCATAATCCCCCATTAATAGGATTTAATCCTCCTTTAAAAGTTAAAAAATCACTATATTCACTCCAATTTAATGTGAAAAAAGGTTTTAAACCTGCTGAAAAACTCGGGTATAAGCCAGCCATTAATTCTCTGTTTAATAAAAATTCATGAGGTAAAGGAATTTCTTTTGGATCGACTCCTGCATCAAGTAATTTATTAATAGGAATTGATAAATGAATCTGATGACCAGCCCAACCTAAACTTCCTAAACCTAATAAACCAGCTAAATGATGATTCATCATAGATTCCACATTTTGGAACCATTCCAATTTAGGAGCCGCTTTATGATAATGAAACCAGCCGGCAAAAAACATAGCGCCAGCCAAAACAAGTCCGCCTAATGCTGTACTATAAAGCTCAAGTTCACTGGTGATTCCACTTGCTCTCCAAAGTTGAAAAAATCCAGATGTAATTTGAATTCCTTGAAAACCACCCCCAACATCTCCATTTAAAATCTCTTGTCCAACAATTGGCCAGACAACCTGTGCACTTGGTTTTATATGAGTAGGATCACTTAACCAGGCTTCATAATTTGAAAAACGTGCTCCATGGAAATACATTCCGCTGAGCCAAATTAAGATAATGCCTAATTGGCCAAAATGAGCACTAAAAACTTTACGAGAAATATCTTCTAAATCACTCGTATGACTATCGAAATCATGTGCATCTGCATGTAAATTCCAAATCCAAGTTGTAGTCGTAGGTCCTTTTGCTAAAGTTCTTGAAAAATGACCAGGTTTTGCCCATTTTTCAAAACTTGTATCTGTAGTATTACGATCAACAATTACTTTTACTTTTTTAATTTCACGTTCTGGTGGACTAATTGTCATTGATTTTTTTAAAAAATAGATTATATTTTTACCGAAAGGTAAAAAAAGTTTAGATGAATCTTTACATTTTATGTGATAATTATAACATATTTAAAAAGTGCATAAGGGTCCACCTACAAACTTTAAAAAACAAATAGGTGATACCCAGATTCGAACTGGGGATAAAAGATTTGCAATCTTCTGCCTTACCACTTGGCCATATCACCATTTCTCTAATAAGAGACAGCTATGAATCTTATTAGAGAAAATAAACTATGTTGTCAAAGCTTCTTTAGCTGCATATAAAACTTCAAAGGTAATTTCCTTTATACCATTATCCCGCGCATATTTCTCTGTATTTCTTTTTATTCGATTACGCACGAAACCTGGAATTTTTTGTAATTCCTCTAAACCACCACTCGACCAATTTAAATCTGAGCTTGTAGATAATGTTTGAGTAATAACAGTTTTACTATCGTGCCCACCAAAAATCTCTAATAAATGATCTTCCATTCCTAGTGTAAAAGAATTGTATACTAAATCTGCAATTTGATTTGCACCCTCATAACCTAAAAAAGGTCGGTACCCTAATGGAAAATTTTGAATATGAATTGGTGCCGAAATAACTCCACAAGGAATATCTAGACGTTTTCCAACATGTCGTTCCATTTGTGTACCAAAAATTGCCGAAGGCTCTAAACGCGCAATCATATTACTAACTTGAGTATGATCTTCAGTAATTAGAATTTCATCACAAAATCCCTCAACTTGCTCACGAAACCAGTCCGCATCGTGTTGACAATAAGTTCCAGAACATACAACACGAATACCCATTTCTCGTGCCAATATTTTTGTCATCGATACGGCATGTGTGGTATCTCCAAAAACTACTGCTTTTTTACCCGTTAAATTTTGACAATCTATTGAACGCGAAAACCAAGCAGCTTGAGATATAAAACGTGTCTGTCGGTTGATATAGTTTTCAATATTCAAATTTAATCCTAGTTTGGATTGCAATTTTCGAAGAAACTTCGCGGTATCTATAAGGCCCATAGGGCTTGTGGAAATAAAAGGCATGTTAAAATTTTGTTCAAGATATTGAGCAGACATTAGACCGACTTCACGATACGGTACAATATTTAACCATGCTTTAGTAATATTTTTTAATTTTTTCACAGAAACGCCTTCTGGAATAATTAGATTTATCTCGATACCTAAATCATTAAGCATACGTTTTAGTTCGCGACAATCATGTTGATTATGAAATCCGAGAGTAAAAATACCTAAAATATTTACCGAAGGTTTTTCTGTTCTTACAGAATTTTTATTTTTTTCGAGATAAAATCTAATTATTTGTTCTAGAGTTCTATCGGCGGCTTGTAGTTCATTGACTCTATAATGATTAACATCAGCAAGCAATATATCTGATTTAGAATTTAATGCCGCTCTATTTACAAAATTTTGTAGATCTTCTTGTAAAATACTTGAAGTACATGTTGGAGTAAGAACTATTAAATCGGGTTTTTCTTGTTTATCTTTACGAGTTATATTTTCAACAACTTTTTCCTGAGATCCACGAGCTAATACATGTCGATCAACCACACTAGCCGTTACCGGCGTAAAATCTCTTTCTCGTTCCAACATTGAACGCATTACATTAAAATAATCATCCCCAAGAGGCGCATGCATAATTGCATGTACATTTTTAAACGAGCTTGCAACTCGTAATGTTCCTATATGAGCAGGGCCCGCATAACTTAAAGCTTGTGATACTTCAAAAGAATTGCTCAAGTGCATTTCTACACAAGCAGCTCACCTCTTTTATTTAGTATTAAAAGAGTTTTTGAGAAAATTACTAAACTTTTTCAAAATCCATATTCTTTAAAAAAGAATTCACTTTCTTTGATTTTCTTTAGACTACTCCATGTTTAATTTTTTAACTAATAATATAACAAAAAAAATTTACGAATTGGATGCTTTTCATAAATTGATATTATTATTTGTCAATCAAGAAAAACCGTGAGCAGAGATAGAATTATTTTTTTTAGCAAAAATTTTGTTAAAAAAATAATTATTTTATTTTTAACAGTTAATTAAAAAATAATCGAAAAACCAAAGTTTTGTATAATCATCCAATAAGCTAATTTCATATTTTTTAAGATATTCTAAGAAAAAAATTCTAGAAAAATCTATTTTTTGCAAATATATTTTATTTTTTATATATTTTTATATTAAAATTGATTTTTCGTATAAAATAAGTTAGTATAATACACTTCTTGTTAGGGTGTCGCCAAGTGGTAAGGCATCGGGTTTTGGTCTCGACATTCGAAGGTTCGAATCCTCCCACCCTAGAACAGTTAAAAGAAAAAATAGTTGGAAATTTTCCCGTATGATTTATGCCAGGAATCGGACTTGAACCGATGACACAAGAATTTTCAATACTATGCTCTACCACTGAGCTATCCCGGCTTTCTGAAATACATTCCAACTGATTATAGTGATAAAATCTAAAACTGTCAATCAAAACTAGCTTTTGTGGCGAAATTAGGCAAACGCACCAAGTTTAGGCCTTGGAGTCTACGACTTGTGGGTTCGATTCCCACCAAAAGCATTAAATTTTTATTATCTAGATCCTATAATAAATAATGCAACAATTTATCCAACAAAAAAAAAGTTATAAAAAAAGATTAGATTTTTTAACAAAAAATTTAGATTTTATTTTTGAATATTTTTTCATTGGTTTTATTATTGGAAATCTTTTTGGTAGTTTTTTAATATTTTTTCGAGATTGGTTTATCTGGGATGGTTTACTAATTATTTGTCTAATTTTTTTACTGGAAATCGGGAATTTTTTTGTTTTTCGATCGATTACTAGAACACAAAAATTCGCGAAATTTTTACCAATACGCGCTGGTATTTTAATTGGTTTTTTTGTTGATGCTTATAAAGTTGGGAGCTAGTAAAATTGTTGTATTCAATATTTTATTATATTGAATACAACAATTTTTAATAAGCTAAACCCATACTTCTCGTAGTTTCTGCACCTAAATATACGCGAACACTTAAAAAGTCCGTAGGGCAAGCCGTTTCACATCTTTTACATCCAACACAATCTTCGGTTCTCGGAGCTGAAGCGATTTGTTTAGCTTTACAACCATCCCATGGAACCATTTCTAAAACATCTGTCGGACAAGCTCGAACACATTGAGTACAACCAATACATGTATCGTAAATTTTTACATTATGAGACATCAAAAAATTTTTTTACGTAAATTAATAGTTGCCCATAGTCTAACGTATCTTATACACTAAATGCAAATAAAATAATCCTATTAAGGTGGGCGTCGCCAAGTGGTAAGGCAGAGCTTTGTGGCAGCTCTAGTCGTGGGTTCAATTCCCATCGTCCGCCTAATAATTTAAAACAAGGGTATATAGCTCAGTGGATTAGAGCATATGGCTACGAACCATAAGGTCGGGGGTTCAAATCCCTCTATACTCAATAGTTGAAAACTATGCTACAATATGCTAGAATATTTGAGGATTGATTTAAATTTGTCATTATAAAAAAAAACTTATGAATGCAGCTTATTTACCATCGATTTTTGTACCTTTAATTGGCTTAGTTTTCCCCGCAATAGCGATGGCTTCGGCTTTTTTATATATTGAAAAATCAGCTATCGAATAATATTAATTTAAAAATTATCATCTGATAAAATTTTGAGAAGAAAATTTATACAACAATGTTTATTATTTAAACATAATTTTAAATTTTTACAATGTCAATACAAATAAGTTTGAGACAATTTATCAACAAATCTATCTATAGTTTATTCCTTTGTGGAATATTTTTATATGCTAACCCACAAAACACTTTTGCGTATCCTATTTTTGCACAGCAAAATTATGAAAATCCTAGAGAACCTAATGGTCGTCTTGTTTGTGCAAATTGTCATTTAGCTCAAAAACCTGTTGAAATTGAAGTACCACAATCTGTTCTTCCAGATACCGTTTTCGAAGCTATAGTTAAAATTCCTTATGATCAACAAGTTCAACAAGTTCTTGTTAATGGTAAAAAAGGAAGCTTAAATGTGGGTGCTGTTCTTATATTACCTCCTAATTTTCAATTAGCACCAAAAGATCGTATTTCACCCGAATTAAAGAAAAAAATTAATCGATTATCATTTCAACCTTATAGTGCTGAGCGACAAAATATTTTAGTTGTTGGTCCAGTTCCAGGTAAAAAATATTCAGAAATGGTTTTCCCAATATTATCTCCAGATCCAAATAAAGATAAAACTGTTTCTTATTTGAAATATCCATTATTTGTAGGAGGCAATCGTGGACGAGGTCAAGTTTATGCGGATGGTTCTAAAAGCAATAATACTGTATATACAGCCTCAACAGCTGGAAAAATACAATCAATAAATATTAATCAAAAAGGAGAAGCAGAAATTTCCGTTTCAAACGAAACTGGGGACCTAATCAATCAAACGATACCTGCGGGTCCACAAATTATTGTTAAACAAGATCAAACAGTAACTTTAGATCAACCGTTAACCAACAATCCAAATGTTGGAGGTTTTGGTCAAAAAGATACAGAAATTGTTTTACAAAACCCAGCACGTTTACAGGGATTACTTGTTTTCTTCGCAAGTATATTATTAACTCAAATTTTTCTAGTATTAAAGAAAAAACAATTTGAAAAAGTACAACTATTTGAAATGAATTTTTAATTTTGAACTAAATATTTAAAATCTCAATTTGGGGTTTTAAATATGCATGTATGGCTGAGTGGTCAAAAGCGGCGGACTCATAATCCGTTTTCATTGAATATCGCAGGTTCAAGTCCTGCTACATGCAATGAATTAATTTAAAAGGTTAATGGAAAAGGTCTAGAATAACATTTAAAAAATTTTAATATTATTCATATATGGATTTATAGTCAAATACTATAAATCCATATATGAATAATATTAAAATTTTTTAAATGTTAATTGATTATCTTAAACAACCTGAATGAATCAGCGATAACTTATTTTTTATTCTGCATTTTTAATATACAATATAAATTGTATCTTAAATAAAGATTCTTAAAAAAAAAAAAGAAAAGCAATATTATGGATAATTATCAATCTATCCCAAAAAATAAATATAAAAAATTTTTAGGCAGGTTTCTGAAAATTTTTTATATGAATATTTATTTTTAGATAGAATCCTAAAAAAAAAATAAATAATGCTTATTTGATATTTTCATAAAAATTTTTTGAAAGAAGTTTTATGAAAATAAAAATTTATAAAAAAATTTTCTTAGCTATTAATAATGAAAATTGTTTATATAGTTAGTCTTTTGATTAATATTTTAAAAAATAATTATTTACTGAAAAAACAATAAATCGTCTTGAAAACAATCAATATACTTTTGATGTTGTTGAACATTTAACAAAAAAACAAATTCGGCAAATTTTTAAAAAACTGTATAATATCACACCATTAAAGATTAATAGTCATACTTTGACGAGAAAAAAAACGCGTTTATTAGCCTCAACAGGCTACAAAAATAAAAAAAAACGAATTATTATTAAATTAGAAAAAACACAAAAGTTACCAATAGAAACTTCTATAGGATAATTTTTTTAATAAATTTTATTTATGGCACTCCGTTATTATAAAACACACACACCAGGTACACGTCAACGTTCATGTTGTGATTTTAGTAATATATCAAAACAACGACCACAGCGAACGTTAACCTCGGCTTTTACACGAAAAAGAGGAAAAAATAATCGTGGTATTATTACAATACGACATAGAGGTGGTGGACATAAGCGTTTATATAGAAAAATTGATGCAAAACGATTAAAATATTGTTCATTAGCAAAAGTTTTTTCAATAGAGTATGATCCTAATCGTACAGCATATATAGCTCTATTACATTATACAGATGGTACTAAACGTTATATTCTGAAGCCTAATGGTTTAAAAAAAGGCGATATTCTACAAACGGATTTTTTTGCACCTATTAGTATAGGTAATACACTTCCATTAAAAAATATTCCATTAGGAACAGAAATTCATAATATCGAAATTACTCCCGGCCGAGGTGGTCAATTAGTTAAATCGGCTGGAACAAGTGCCCAAATACTTGCAAAAGAAGGTGATTATGTTACGATTCGTTTACCTTCAGGAGAAATTCGTATAATTTTAAAAAAATGCTGGGCAACCATAGGGCAGGTTAGCAACGTAGATTGGCAGCTCCGTAGTATAGGTAAAGCAGGGCGTTCCCGTTGGTTAGATAGACGTCCTCATGTTCGAGGAGCGGTGATGAATCCTGTAGATCACCCACACGGGGGTGGCGAAGGCCGTGCTCCAATTGGTCGAAAACACCCTGTCACACCATGGGGCAAACCTACACTCGGTAAAAAAACACGAAAAATAATTAAATATAGTAATAAATTAATTATTCGTAGACGTAAATAAAATTTTTAAATAGTAATTCCTTTAATATATAGAATAATACTAAAATTCCATTAAAAGTATGACACGTACTTTTCCTTTTGTAGCAAATCATCTATTAAAAAAAATTGAACAATTAAACAAGCAAAAAAAAAAGAAAGTCTTAAAAACCTGGTCCCGTTCTTCAACAATTGTACCTATTATGATTGGGCATACAATTGCTGTACACAATGGTAAAGAATTAATCCCAGTTTTTATCACTGAACAAATGGTTGGTCATAAATTAGGTGAATTTTCACCTACACGTACTTTCCGTGGCCATATCAAAAATGATAAAAAAACCTCACGTCGAAAATAAACTCATCAACTCTTACATAACATCTATAGACTATGGGTCAAAAAATTCATCCATATGGTTTTCGTTTAGGAAGTTTTCAAAAGCACCAAGCAAATTGGTTTGCTAAAAAGGGAAATTATACTCAAAAAATCTTTGAAGATCTTTTTATTCGAAACTTTTTTTTTCAGAGATTTCAAGATGCAGGTATTCTCAAAATTTCTATAAATAGAAAATTTAATAATCACATTCAAATTTGTATTTTTTTAACAAAACCAGGATTTTTTATTAGTTCTAAAAATGCGCAATTAACAACCATTCAAAAAAATTTAGAAACTGAATTTTTAACCTATCAATCGAGTAACTTTTTTCGTTTAAATTTTTTAAAGCACTCAAACTTATCGACAAACCTTGTTAAACCTATTAGCGAACAACAAAAACCCGCAAAACTAACCATTCAATTAATGGAATTAGTGAAAATTGAGCAAAAAGCCGCTTTTTTAGCAGATTTTTTAATCGAACAATTAGAAAAGCGAATTGCTTTTCGTCGTGCTGTAAAAAAAACATTAAAAAGATCAGAACGAGCCAAAATTCAAGGAATTAAACTCCAGATATCCGGGCGTCTTAATGGTGCGGAAATCGCAAGAACTGAATGGATCCGCGAAGGTCGAGTACCTTTACAAACTCTTCGTGCTGATATAGATTATTCTTATAAAACAGCCAAAACCATTTATGGAATTTTAGGTGTTAAAGTTTGGGTTTTCTTAGATTCAAATATCTTTTCCTAAATTTATAAAAAAGTTAACAAAAAAATATGCTACAACCAAAACGATTAAAATATCGTAAACACCATCGTGGTCGTCTAAAGGGTCGCTCAAAAAAAGGAACACGCATTCATTTTGGTGATTTCGCATTGCAAGCTTTAGAACCTAATTGGTTGACGGCTCGACAAATTGAAGCTGCACGTCGGGTTATTACGCGTTATACAAAACGTGGTGGAAAATTATGGATTCGCACATTTCCCGATAAACCAGTTACCATGAGAGCCGCAGAAACAAGAATGGGTTCTGGTAAAGGAAATCCTGAATATTGGGTTTCCGCCATTAAACCTGGAAAAATTCTTTATGAATTAAAGGGTGTCCCCTATTCTACAGCAAAAAAAGCTTTTATAAATGCCGCTTTTAAATTACCACTGAAAACCAAATTTATAAGTACCGGTTCTCAATCAATATTTCATCAATCTTAAGTTTATTATGATTCAGTCACAAACCTATTTAAATGTTGCAGATAATACTGGAGCTAGACAGATAATGTGTATTCGCATTTTAAATTGTGGAGCTCGAAAATTTGCTAAAATTGGAGATATCATTATAGGTGTTGTTAAACAATCAACTCCAAATATGCCAATAAAAAAATCCGAAATTGTTCGAGCTGTAATTGTAAGAACATGTAAACCTTTTCGTCGAAAAAATGGTTTTTTAATACAATTTGATGATAATGCCGCGGTGATCGTTAATAAAGAAGGTACACCAAGGGGCACTCGTATTTTTGGACCTGTCGCCAGAGAATTACGAGATTCAGATTTTATGAAAATTATTTCATTAGCCCCTGAAGTTCTTTAATTTTTTATAAAAAATGTTATGTATTCTAGATTTAAAGAATATTATCTTAAAAAAGTTTGTCCAAATATCCTTAATAATAAAAAATTAATCTATAAAAATATTTATCAAATACCAAAAATTGAAAAAATTTTGATAAATCGTGGGATTGGAGATGCTTCTCAGAATCCACGTATTCTAGAGACATCTCAGGCGAATACGTAGTTAATTAGGCAATACTCTTTTTTATTTTTTTTGGTTTACAAAATAACCAAATAGCTAAAAATTTTATTATGAATCTTCAAAATTTTTAAAAGACAAAAATTTAAATTGTCTATAAAATAAGATTGTTTTCATAAAATAGAATTTATTATAAAAATTAATATTGAATCTATCAAAAATAGAATAAAAAAATTCTAAAATATTGCTTAATTAATTTTTATAATATTTTTTCTAAAAAAATATTGATTTATAAAAATTATCTGAAAGGTCATATTTTTTATAAAAGACCTTCAAGAGGAGGGTTTCGAGCTGAATGCCGCTAAAGCGGCTTATCCAGTTCCTATGTTTTTATATGCATCTAAAAAAAAACAATTTATCAGAATTTAAATTAATTGTTGGTCAGAAAAGTATAATTACAAAATCAAAAAAATCCATATCTGGGTTTAAATTAAGACAAAAAATGCCTGTTGGTGTATCCGTAACCCTAAGAAATCATTTTATGTATGATTTTATGGATCGATTATTAAATTTAGCACTCCCACGTATACGAGATTTTCAAGGTTTGTCTAGAAAAAGTTTTGATGGATTAGGAAATTATAGTTTGGGCTTAGAGGAACAATTAATGTTTCCTGAAATTAATTATGATCAAATAGATCAACTAAGAGGTATGGATATCACCATAGTAACCTCAGCAAAAACAGATAAGGAAGGACTATTATTACTCAAAGAATTGGGTTTTCCATTTCAAAATTAATTTTTCTAGAAAATATTTTATTTAGCTATAAAATCAACTTAGATTTTTAAAATTATGGATTTAATCAGCAATGTCTTAACCTATATTCGAAATGGCAATCTAAGTAAAAATAAAAGTGTGAGATTGCCATATTTAAAAACAACCATCCAGTTAGTTAGAATATTAAAAAATGAAGGGTTCATTGACTCATTCGTAATTTCAAAAAAAGAAGAGGCTATTGAACAAGCTTATACGGATCATATAATAGTTTTTTTAAAATATGAAGGACGTAATCGAAAACCGATTCTTACAAATCTCAAGCGAATTAGTAAACCGGGTAGACGCATTTATGTAAATTCCAAGCAGGTACCTCAATTATTAGGTGGGTTAGGGATTCTTATACTATCAACATCTCAGGGTATTTTAACGAATAAACAAGCGCGCCATTTAAAAATTGGCGGTGAACTCTTATGCTCTATTTGGTAATTTTTTGATCTTCCATCAAGATTCGTATCTCAGT